TGCAAGTCCTTTCACACTGTAACAAACTATGCAAAACTGTGGGCAGGAAAATATTTAGATCAAACTGGAAAGTTCAACAAATTCAAACACTTTAGTATTCTGTTCCCCTGCCTTTCTGAAGTAGAGGACACAATACAACACAGTCCTTCACAGCATCCATGAACCATGAGGGCTGGCTGCCATGAAGGATGAGGAGCACAAAGGGAGGTGGAGGGAACAATAAGAGCATCCACCTCCATGTCTTCCACTCCCTCCTAGTGAAACATAGAGGCTCTGCAGAAAACAGTGCCCCAGCTTTGAGAGGGAAATAGATACATGCTGTCCGAGGTAATGTACAGCAAGCTACAAACCAAATACCCTGAAAAAAGTATTAGTATGGATACCTATTAATTTTAATATTGCACGGTAGTACAGGTGTTTTGAGTCAGTGCCTATGTGTGTATCACTCAGCACTGTTGTAAATGCAATGCTCGTAATCACCAAGGAAAGGTAATGTTTGTTTGTAGCTAGGCAAATCAAACAGTAAGCAGATTGGGAACAACACCACACAATTTTGTTCTCTGAGACTCTAAAAGCATAATACAAACATAAGGACACTAAACTGGAAAGAATTATCATTAAACGGGGAATGAGTTAAGGACCAGTCCAAAACTTGTTTATGTCAGCTCTACTCTCAGTATGAAAGACAAACAGAATAGTAGTTCTGAGATGTGAAACCTGTAATATTCAGTATCAGCACAAAGCAAACACAGAAAAGACACTGTAGAAATCATGTCAGCTCTCAGGAATTTCTACTCTGTGTAAAATGAAGTACAAAATCTTTTCATCCAAAGACTCATAAAGATTGACAAAATGGTGCTGAGTCGGACCTATTTTGGTGACAGAAACAGAGAACTGTACTGTGTTTAATTCTGGTTTTAAGACACATTTTAATGAAAACTCATTAGCCATGGAACATGCTGTATAGTGTTTGTGTGATGCCTGCACGCTACTTTGGACTACTTATTTAGCTAGCAGCCACTACTAGAACTGTATTGCTTAACATGATCCTGTAATCAGCTGCAAAGCTAGTTGACTGTATCTATGAATCTTCTGGTCCGTTTTAGTATCTTGATCGACATGGATGAAATTATACTTTCACCTCTCAATAAAATAAGGTGTTGCAAACAAAGGAAGGTGAAGGAGGCTAAATTGACATTGATTATTTAAAACACATTAATCATTTATTATTTAGCAGTCTCCCACATCAATCTGTTGCACACATGGCTCTTTCTGCAAGACTCCCAACATGTTTTAAATGATTTTCAGTACACATACTGGAAAACAGAATAAATTCAGGACTATCATAAGGTAGAGATCCCTTGGCATTCTGCAGTAGAAAGCAATCAGCTTTCTAAGAAACCTGGATTGCTATCTGATGTCTTCCCTTGAATACACACAGCAGCTGGCTTGATATTTTACTTTCAATTTAGTCAAGTAGCAAAGTAGTCATGTTAATCACTTAAGGAAACTGTAGCATTTTTCATCATGGAAGACCTCTTTCCTCCTTATCAAAACATATTTTAAACTTTATGTTTTAATTCCATAATTAAGTTTCTTATTAGATTATTTTAATACCAAAAAGAGATTAAGCAGTGTGCTTTCCAGTTCAAACAGTTCTTTATGAGAAACATTATTGCTACAGACTTTAGCTTCAACTTGCTTGCTAATACACTACTCTAAATCAATTTCAGCTGAAAATTCTGTGTGTTGCTCGGTAGAAAACAGTGAAATCTATCAGAATATTATCCAACAATTTACAGGTATTGCAGGAGATTGCATGACCCAGACTTTGCTGATCATCTTGATAGCCAGAATCTGACTGTAATTATGTTAGAGCCACTAACATAAAATACACTATATTAACTTACATTCTGGTAACCTCTCAAATACTTACCCAAAACATCCTGTCAACACTGTTTAAACATTTTCAGAGAAGCTCCACAGAGACAGGAACATTTATTCCCTTTGAAACATTGCATTTCTTCCATCTTGACCCATTCTTTCCTAAACATAGACTAGCCTCTAGCCTTTTTTCATTACTGTACACCCTACAGATGAAAGGACTCATTCCTTGTCCAAGCCAAAGTCAGAATTTCCATTTACTTTTAACAATGTATCTAAATGAACTCCAAAGCCACAGAATAGTCTCTCAACTACTGGACACATTGTCCAGAAGTCAAACAAAACAGAGCATTGCTTTCTTTTGGGGCGAACATGTTTCAGGTTTTTTTTTTGCACTGCAAAATAGGCAACTATTAAGTTTATACAGTGAAACAAAAGAATATAAAACAATCTATTTACAGAAGCAGTAATTTAAGAATTTCTAAAATTCTGCATTCTGAGGTGTATATCAATATTTGTGCAACATTGATGAAATAATGCTACACAAATTCCTGATAACACTTTTATCTGACTATTGTTAGCTGCTAAAATTGCATTAAGGAGAAATAAAACAGATCACTTTTTTAAATTACAGCAGCAAATCTGTAGTGATGATGGAATTAACTTAAATTTTCTGCTTGCCTGTTAAAATGGATAGCTCAAGTATTCAATGCATGCTATTCTCAGAATGTGTGACTAATGGCATAAATATTGTATCTTGTATTCTCTGATCTGTTTTGTGTTTTTCTATGTAATTTCACATTAGCACAATATTATTGTAGTTATACACAGTTACGCATATCTTGAATAAAATGATGTACAGATACTACTTGTCAGGGTTACAAGTTCCTCTTTAAAATCTCATATACAAGCAAAGAATACAAATGCAATTGCCACTCGGTTTGAACAGAAACACAGCTGAACTTACTACTACCTATAATAGCTGTCCTTTGGAGAAAAGCTGTACAATCTAATAACGACCAAAAGTTTTTATTAATATTAAGTGTTTACTTATTTGCACATTTTTCTTCACTGAATTCCCTTCATGATGATCATAGTAAGCATGTCTTATTCCTGTAGATTAGTTCAACTTTCTCTGTAATCAATTCCTTGTAATGCAATTTTCACAAGTACTCTGTACAAGATAAATAGAGGTGGATATGTTGTTCCATACAAAAACATTCTACATTTCCTTTTGTTCTTGCATTGCATCACCCTATATATATAAGAAAAGATAAGATTGCAACCATGACATGGTAGAGGCATTTTACCAGGGAAGGTTGAAAAATGTGTTCCACTAATGTTGAAGTGAATGCTGCTAAAGAAAAGGATTTTTTTAAAATTATTGTTATTGTTATCTTTAATACTCAGATCTCAGCCAGAAAACTGTGTCTTTTTGAGGGAGGGGGTTCTAATTTTATCGCAGAATCAGCTATCATCTACTTTACTGACAGAAGACCTCCCCCCTGCAAACTCCAAGGGAACACAGACTGGAAAAAGGGAAAAAAATGATCTGTTAACAGCATGGATCTCTGCAGCATGAGATAACACATATCTGATTTGGGAGAGAACAACTAAATACATAAATCACATCATTTAAAAAAAAAAAAAAAAAAAAAAAAAAAAAAAAAAAGAAAAAACAGAACCAAATACCCTACAAATTGCTTATACTCGTTTTTAGTGGAAGATGTTTATTTAACATGTAAGATAGTAGCTGTTAAGGATAATTAGTCCCAGAAGAAAGAGATATAGCATTGCAACATACAAAAATGTTTTCAAGTATTTTTGAATATTATGGGATTTTCACCATTAATATATATATACACACCTCACAGTTTCAGTAAATTCCAACAGACATTATTATACAGATAAAGTAGAATGTAAGGGTCCATATCTGGCAACCCATAAACAAGAAATTAGTGCAGACAGACATACAATGAGTAAAGTACTGATTTATTTGCCCTAAATAAAAAAACCAAAACAACCTCAAAAGAAAGAAAAAAAACAACCTCAAAACCAACCCACAGTTGTTAATACATATAAAAATAATAATTATAACTGCATTTTTGTCCAAAGTATATTACTTTTTTTTAAAAAACAACAGTTAGTTCTCCTGGCTTGAATCAGCTTAAAAGACAGTATGAAAAAACACCAAAGTGCAGTTTGCTTCAAGAACTTTTCAGAAAGTGAAAATTTTCTGTTTCTGTCTTCAGAAGACTATCTAAAGACTTAGAAAACAAAACTTTAATGCTCCATTGATACAAAACATACTGAAAGGAAGGTTTCAAAACCTGCTTTAATTCCAGTGTTTTTTTATAAATTTGGAGCAGCATGCTGATATACACCAACGCAGAACCACAGCCTTATTTTGCAGAACGGTCTTTGGTAAGAAATATTGTTAAATTTTGCTCAAATCACAGAATAGAACTGTGGCATTCTTAATCAAAAATTATTCAAGAAGGCTCATACAAACAAGTCAATCTTTTGCACGTATTCAACCAATGTACCACAGACAGAATACTTTATTTTAAAAAACTGAGAAAAAAAAAAAAAAATCTACAGTTCAGGAATCTCTGACTATGAACTTGCTTGAGGATACATACTATCAATTCACCCTCCAGCAGAAATTGACAGATGCTCTTCAGGAAACAGAATTTTAACATCACTTGGCAAAAGTGTATTTATTCCATTATCTTCCAAAATTCAGATATTGTTTGGACAGCATATGGTGATTATAAAACATAATAACCTCACTACATTGTCAATAAGTGTGTAGATGAATACGGAAAAAAAATTACAGTCCACTAATAAATATCCTCCACATTGACTTATGCTAATTTTCAACTCTTTGTTAAGCATAAAATTAATAGGGCATTGGTATGCTGGCAGGTAGTTGTAATTATCTTCCCATGTTTCAGAAGGTATATTAGAATCATTTAAGAGCAAAAGATGAATGGTGTTCCAGTAACTCCCACTAAATCAATGCATGGACACAACAGCAGCAGAGGCAAACAGGCTTACATAAGTCGGAACACCCACAAAGATGATAAAAAATAGTGTTTGATACAGCTACTTACATCATGGCCTACGAGGTCTGTCTGCGTGGATTTATCTGCTTGGGAAGCAAGAGCCTTCTGAAAGCACTGAGCCTTTTCCTGTAAAACAAAGTAACATATATCACACGTGAGTCATGTTTTTCCTCACTCGGCTTTGCAGCTACAAATAGTCAGGTAAGTTCAAAACTTCTGTATGGATAGCTTTCAGGAAGATTTATTATGACATTACTCTCACTGGGAGGTTGATTTCCTTGCTGTTATTTCCTTTTATAAACTTATCTTTCTCTTAAACGGACTCCGAAAGTCTGACAGTGTGGTAGAGCTGGGCCCACAAGAAGGATGTCACTGAAGTGTGATGAAAAGCAATCTTCTTCCAGAGCAGATATAGGTACAAAGCACTGAGCAGCAGCAGTGACCCTTGCAAACACCAGCACCATTCCAATAGTAAAGAAACCATTTTTTAAAAGAAACATTAAGGAACATGCAAACTCCACCACAGTTCACAAGGTTGAGACGACTTCCCCCTTGCATGATGCAAACACGTTAGCAAAGCCTAAACATTTGGGTATTGTACTCATTTCTGCTTTTCCTGTCCTTGTCCCTCTGTATCTCAATCATTTTTGGAAGTGCAGCATGGAATCTCTGGGACAGGCTTGAGCAAATAAATGTGGTTGCTTCCAAAAAAGCACATTTTTATATTCACAAAAAAAAAGTGTTTTGATATTTCGTTTGAAACTCATCACTAAGAAGAAATGTTGATTCTCATCAAGCCCTTACATATACTGTACTATTTTCCAGGGGAAAGTATGCAATGAAACAAATGGTAATACATGCAATAAGGCAGGAAAAGGCACACGAGAGGGCAAGGTTCCATGAATAGAGAACACCAAGTCTTTTACTGCACCAATTTATGTTTTCCTATCTACCGATTCAGTTTTATTTTGCAGCTACATCCAGACAAAATACTTATCTTTGACTCATATTCCTCAAGACCTACAAAAGTATTCTGTTAATGTTACTGACAGGTGTGTATTACAGTGAAACAGAATTTCAGATTCAATTACCTTGAAATTCAAGTTGAATGAATCTCAGTTTTTACTGAAATAAAGACACAGAAATGTTATTATTTTCAGCTACTGTCTGAGTTGTGTTTTCATTTTGTGGTGGGTTGACGCTGGCTGGGTGCCAGGTGCCCAGCAAAGCTGCTCTATCATTCCCCTCCTCAACTGGATGGGCAAGAGAAAACACAATGAAAAGCTCGTGGGTCGAGATAAGGACAGGGAGAGATAGTCACAAATTATCATCATGAGCAAAAATGAATTTCATTTATTACCAATCAAATCAGAATAGGATAATAAGAAATAAAATCAAATCTTAAAACACTGTCCCCCCACCCCTAACTTTACTCCCGATTTTCTCTAACTCCTCCCCTAGCTGGTGGAGGGGAACCAGGAATGTGTGTTGCAGTCAGTTCATCACACATTTTTTCTGCCACTCCTTCCTCCACAGGGGAAGGACTCCTCACACTCTTCCCCTGCTCCAGCACAGGTCCCTCTCATGAGTGACAGTCTCCATGAACTCTTCCAATGTGAGTCCTTCCCACAGGCTGCAGTTCTTCACAAACTGCTCCAGTGTGGGTCCCCCATGGGGTCACAAGTCCTGCCAGCAAACCTTCTCGAGCGTGGGCTCCTCTCTCCACAGGGCCACAGGTCCTGCCAGGAGTCTGCCCTAGTGTGGTCTCTCCACAGGGTCACAACCTCCTTTGGCGTGGGGTCCTCTACAGGCTGCTGGTGGGCATCTTCTCCACTGTGGACCTCTACGGGCTGCAGGGGCACAGGCTGCCTCACCATGGGCTACACCACAGGCTGCAGGGGAATCTCTGCTCCAGTGCCTGGAGCACCTGCTCCCCCTCCTTCTTCACTGCCCTTGGTGTCTGCAGAGCTGTTCCTCTCACATATTCTCACTCCTCTCTCTGGCTGCAGTTGCTGTTGCACTGCAACTTTTCCCCCTTCTTAAACATGTCACCACAGAGGCACCACCACCGTTGCTGATGGGTCTGGCCTTGGCCAGGGGCAGGTTTGTCTTGGAGCTGGCTGCACTGGACATAGGGGAAGTTTCTGGGAGCTTTACACAGAAGTCACCCCTGTAGCCCCCCTCTACCAAACCCTTGCCATGCAAACTCAATATACCTTTAAAGTATCTCTTCTAAATATTTTAAAAAACAGAAGTTATTCATTTCAAGGCAAGATGGACATCACTACATTAAGTTAGTTTTGTCTAAAAGTAGGCAAATAGCAGGAAGAAAACAACACCTAAATGACCCTACCTCCAGTATTTCAATTCTTTAAATAAGGCACGGGAGGTGGGGAAGGAGCAGAATTCAGATTGATCACTTCCCTGGTATGAAACAACTTTCATGCAAACTTGCTGAGGTAACTACTGAGTTAAAACTGAATCCATAGCAGAGGTAATCTCCTTTCTGACAGAAAAGCTTCACCCTCTTGAGGTTTGAATTTACTACTTCACTGACCACCACATTTTCATGTGTTTAGAAAACAAACATTGTTATGCATCTACTTTCTTATTTAGACAATAACATTTTACTACTCAGAAGCCCCATGAATTTTCTAGTTACAAATCCAGACATTCACAGAGACTGAACGTTCAAGTAACATTATGACTGGACCAAAACCAGTATTAAACTGTGTACCTGATCAAACGTAACATTTATATACTTTATCTGTGCATACACATGTGTTTTGAAGTAAGTGGGGAAAAAAACTCAGAAGAAATCGAAACCTTCATTAAGGCAACAAATTAACTGGGAAAGCTAGGAAGGTTGCAATAATCAAACTGATTTCTTTCTGCAAGCTGATCATTTAACTACGTATATGCAGTGAGATCTGTCTTTAACACACCCAAGTTCTGACTCCACATTATCATCTTTAGCAGAAGCGGAAGTTTAAAGAGGTCCATGTTGAAAAGTAGTACCTTCTCGCTACTCTACAAAAAGAATACTTTCAATTGTGTTGATGCAAAACAACCTTCATAATATGAATTATTTTCAAAAATATTAAATATAACAATAATACAGTGTATTTTATCTTCTTTCCAGTGATGCTGCAAAAGTCTGCCAAATTTTTTAAATCACAGAAATGTATTTTCCATGCAGTAACGCAGACAACTTACGGCTTGTAACAAAACAGCATGCGACTGGAAGAGGCTACTTACATAGCCATTCAACTTCTCTGCAGTTAGGTTTTCCTAACTTGCACAACTTGATTTCTAGAATTGTTATTACCAGAGGAACACAGCTGTTCCAAAAGACACACCTTTGTTTATGAAACAATTTTACTAATATTAAAGGTATTAGATATCAAAACCATTATAAAATATTCTAATGTAAAAACACTTCTCAAAATGATAACTTGATACTTTAAACATAATCTCATGCTGCACTGACTATATCAATAGACAGATTTTATAATGAACTAAAGCAGCAAAAAGCTGGAAAACAATTCTTAACACTGAAGTGAATTTCAGATCTATAAAGTATAGCATGCTACAGAATGCAAGCTAAATGAAAAACTTCAGTGCAACTGTTTCTGTAGAAGTGTAGCAGTTCTTCACACAAAAATGAATATTAATCCTATTCTACGCACAAAAAAAAAAAAAAAAAAAAAATAAATACTATCGATTTTTTGCCACATTTGCTAAATATTTACAACACTGTCTGCTTTTGGGTATAGATTTACTGTTCCTATCCATGCGTAGCACAACATTTCAGACACAGATGCCAACTGTCAGCTACAACCACAAACCTTCTGCAAGGAGGTCATGTTCTCCAACAAAGACTGCTTGCAGGGGATTTGCACCTTTGCCTTTTTTGCAAATCTTATTGAGAATAGTCGCTTTAAAAAACCTGATGTCTAGGTATCAGTTAATTTTGCTTTTGCAAATGTGTTACCTAGTACGCTGTTTGATATGTCTGAGTCTGTACAATTACTTTGGTCTTTGGCACTGGAACAGACAACTCTGCCACGAATGCAACAGCCTAAGGCACTAAGCCAGAGACAGTCAGAAAAAGATAGCAATCTTTTTTATTTACTTTTTATTAAGCTGCTACAAATAGGAAAGACCTAACAAACTTCCAGGTGCCTGGATAATGGAAAAGGACTTTTGAAATTAAAAATCTGTCCCTTTTTCTCAATTATATCAAATCAGCCAAACAAAAGATCTTTACAAGTCATATGTAGCAGACTTTAACATTCATTCATAACAAAGGAAAAAGTTACCTGGACATACATTCCCACAGCAGACTTCAAATGCCATCACATCATTACTCCTGGAGACAGTTACTATTATAAAGTAACATTTAAAAGTAGTTTTTCAAGTATTGAAACCTCCTTGAGACCTCCCTGCCATTTTAAAACACCCAAGTAACCTTCTTTCAGAGGCTTCCTAGCGAAATTGAGTAATTAGTGATTTTTTTCCATGTGACCCAGTCTTCATACCACTAACTGCATACGCTGCATCCTATCACCTTCTCCTCAACTACCAAAAAGTTTCCAAAAGCTTTTTCATAAGTCTATGTTGAAATGTAAAGATTCTGAGAAAGTCAAAATGCATTATAAGGTGCTTCCTCAATGCTTCCATTTTCCTTTTGAGATACTTTGTAGAATCACAGATTAAGTTGTCCCATCCTCCTGCTTTCTGCCCTTTCACTGTATGTATCTGAAAGGAGCTGGCTCCACCTTCTCTATATTAGGTAGTAAAAAGACTGCAAATGGATCCTTCCTTAACCTCCTTCTTTTCAGACTGAACAAAACAGGTTCCTTTGCCTCTCCCTGTAATGTCATATGATCTGGCACCCTAAGTATCTTAAGAGGTCCAGTGAAAGGAACTCTCTAAAGACCAAAAAGGAACCAACTAATTTATTTTTGAGATACTTTTAGTTTTTTAAGATCAAACATAGTACTTGTAGGTTACTTTTTAAAAATAGAACATAAATAAACACCTTCTCTTATTCTTCTGTGTGCTGTTATTCCCTTTTACTAAAATAAAGTGCAAGGTGACAGGAATAAAAGCATGAAAAATTC